CCACAACCCCCTTTTACCTACTCCTCAACTCCCCACACACCGCAGTAGACAAACTAAACGCCTAACCCCATCTTCACCTACCTCATACACACCTTCAACTACATTTTCATATCCTCAAATGCCTACCCACTCTTCACCCCCTCATAAAAGATCCTTCATTTCCCAAACATCCCTACCCAACTCCCCTCCAGAAACACTTGAAGACATTAGAAACTTTCTATGTATGACACAAGAGAAAGTTCCTCCCACTCAGCCATCCATCAATTTCTCTACCTAGATTCCAGATGCCTTCAAAGTGACTGCCGAAATCCATACTCCTCCGCCTGACATCCCCCAACCCTCTTCCACCCCCCCCCCACCCTTGCCTAAACCAAAAATCCTTCTTTCCCTGAACATAATCCAAGAAAATAACCGTCTCTCTCAATCACCCTCTTAATACCTCTATCCCCATTCGACCTACAATCAGAGTGACTGCATGTCCATCCCCCCTAACCCTACTACCCCAATCCCAACTCCCCCTACCCTACTACCAATCCCTACTACCCTACCCTACCCTTCCCAACATACCTCATCCTCTCAACCACCCAAGCCACCCCCCTCCAAAACCTCATCTGTCTACACAAACCTTATCTTCTCAACCACCTAAACCAATACCCCGCCCCTCCCCCCCCAAAAAAAAGCTATCCTTCCCTACTATCCTTCCCACCCCACCCACCCCTGGATACACGTGAATCTCTTCTATTGCAATACCCTCCCCCAGACCCCAATTTCCTATTGAACCCTAGGACACTACTCCTGATCCTTTACCTCAACCCTCAGATACCTAATCCCCTATTATTAAAACAGTCATACCTATCGCTATTACCCTTCGATTAATCATGGCTTTACTTCAATGGAACATTCGTTACCGTTCCCAAAGACATATATACCTACAACCCATCCATCATCTGTCTACAAGAAACCTTCATGACACATCTCCCAGTACCAATTCCAAATTTCCAATTCGTATCATCCCCTCACTCTGGCACACAATCCTCAAAACTAATTCACCAAAAAACTCTGTACACTAGATACTCTATCCAAATCATCATTCCTTGCACTGTTCTTTGTATTTTTCTCCAACGATGGATTACAGTTATTTCCGGTTAGTTTTCCATCTTTATTACTATTGACTTTAACGCTTCCAAAACCTTACTCTCAACTACAACAGGCAATTTCAACTGCCGTCACACTCTTTGGGGTGATACCATCACAACCTGTCGTGGTAGATCCCTAGATTATTTCCTGTCCACAACCGACCTCATTACCCTTAACTCTGACCGTCCCACACATTTTGACATGTGTACTCAATCTTTTTCATCCCTCTCTATGCTCTCCTATGCATACGCGGAAACATGGGTCTTTATATAATCCTTCCTTTCCAATTGCACCTTCAAAGTCAAAATTGCTTCTTCCACTTCATTCTCTTATCCTCAGATCGAAGGCGTCCCACAAGGCAGTGTTCTCAGCACTACCTTATTTCTTATAGCTGTGAATAACTTTATATCAGTATTACCACCAGGTACCCGATCATCACTTTACATTGATGACCTAATCATCTATGCCTCCGGTCCATCCATAAAATCTCTCCAGCAAATCCTCCAGTAAGCAATATAATCAGCATCTTTCTGGGCTACAAATCATGGCTCTCGTTCCTCCACCACCAAATCCTATTCCATCCTCTTCTCACGCAAACGTGCAAAACCCCAACCTCTCTCTTCTTATACGCCACTCCTTTACAATACTGCCTTTCGGAAAAGTTCCTTGGAGTTATTTTCGACTCCAGACTATCCTTTCGAGACCATATTCTCTCCATTAAAGAAAAAGCTCAAAGACGTCTTCGAATCCTATAAACTCTGCCCCACATATCATGGGGGTCAGACCGTAAAACTCTCCTCTATCTTCACACAACCTTGATTCTCTCTACTTTTGATTATGGATACCATGTATACTCATCTGCTTCTGCCACACCTTAATCATTTAGATACAATTCACTATAATGGTCTCCGATTAGCATTAGGAGCATTCCGCTCCTCCCCAATTGAGAGCCTGTACGCTGAATCAGGCATACTATCTCTTTCTCGACGCTTTACCCTTCTCTCTCTCTCAGATGATTTGGACGCTTTCACCAACACTCCTCCACCAAATTAACTATTCGTCAATCCCTAATTTTTACTTTTACCTCATCTCCCCGTTTACCAACTCCTTTCATCGTCTGCATGAATACTCCCCTTTCCAATTTTCCAACCTCTGCCCTTCTCTGTCAATTTAGTTCCTCCGTGACTTAAACCTTAGCCCCAAATTTGCTCCTCGGTATATCCTGACCCACCAAAGTCAGATATACCTCCCTCTGTTTTCCTCACTCACTTTCTTAACCATATTCCTATTCACTCCTCAAGTACGCATGTTTTCACTGATGGCTCCAAAACCACATTCGAAGCAGGTTTTGCAGTCATCTTCCCAACCTACACATTTAAATACCCTCTACCTCCTGAATCTAGTTTTCTCACTACATAATTATATGCAGTCCTCTTCGCCTTAAAACATATATACTCTCTCTTCCTCCTCTTTCACTATTTTGTTGTTGTTGTTGTTGACTCTCGAAACTCATAAAATCCATACCCTCAACTAACCCCCTTGTCTACAAAATTCAAGACTGGCTATTTCACCTGTACACGCGTTGCTGTGCGCCTTAGTCTGTTCTGCAACAGACCAGTCACCGTTTCATTCATTTTACGTACTAATTAAAGTACCATTTTGTATGATTTCGCAGTCAGATCTGTGATTATGTTCACTGAGCTCAATCCCACCCTCGCCTACTTACCAGACCCTCCCCCCCATCCTCACCCATACCTCTTTTACCCACCCCATCCTTCCCTGAGCCTCCTGTCCACCCACTCCTCATCCCCTCAGCTTATTCATTCCAACCCTCACTCCATTCTTTCTTTTTTTTACTCTCGCTTTTACTTTGACAAATTACTAATGACTAACAAAATATCTATCAGCGTTCTATTTTCTATTGTGTTATACCCTGACACTCATTTCATAACTCACCGATTCACTAAAACTCGTCTCCTCACCACTCACGCAGCCACATGCGCACATCGTCCCGCAGAAACCCGCTAATTGTACAAGAATTACATGCGTACTGTTTCCGAGATAATCGACTTGCGCCAATCGTGTATTCTTGTCTTGCATTACCTTTTATTGTGCAAATGTTGTCTTGAGGAAGCATATTCGATGTAATGAGTCGCTCCTCAAGTATGAGGACTGCATTACCAGTTTTCATTATCGTTTTGCCTCGAATTGCTGTTGGTGACGTGTGATAGACAATTTCAGTGAAATGAGATAGAACATTTACTATTAGTCAGCCGTATACTGCATGCACTATTGCACTGCACACTACTGAACTCTGCATCGTTGCATTTTTTCCCAAGGAAGCTCGTCGTTCAAGACAAGTTCTGGCGGACTGCAACACCTTTTGCTTCCTTGTAGTTCTGCACAATGCTTATCTCTTGTAGATTTTCATCTCCTGCTATCTGAGGCAATTGCAGCTTAAGCAAGTCCTCGCGGACTATTGCGATTGTTTCCCTAAGCATGTTCCTCTGTCTATCGTTGGACAGTGAATTATTGAAAAAATAAATGAAAAGAAAAATAATGCAAATATTTGAATTGACACTGTCATTGTAATGTGATATATTTTTATCATATCATACAACCCCTCTCCCCCCCAGTTTGCCATCTGAGGAACAAAGATTACCTTCCCACGTCTCCAACGCTAGGGACTTGCGACCCACTCTTGAAAGCTACAGCACATTCCATCTCAAGTACAGTGGTAACGTGTCCGCCGACCCCTCGCCCAGGCGCGAGAAGTTGCAATTGTCGCCCGGAAGTTACTGCTGTGGCTGGGCACCGCGGTGGGTAAGGACTAAGCTCTGTCGCGTCAGCACTTGCTGACACACGTTGATCGAGTCGACATTTGTCGGCACAGGCCGGGCGAGGCTCAGCTTCGCATATTGGACTTATCCTTATCCTTGATCTCAAGACGGGCTGACCTGAACGGCTCATCTGGGAGTCTCTTCCCATGCGCACCCTGCTCGACACAAAATGCTGACACTCTCTCTCTCCTTCTCTCGCTTTCTCTCTCTCTCTCTCTCTCTCTCTCTCTCTCTCTCTCTCTCTCTCTCTCTCTCTCTCTCTCTCTCTCTCTCTCTCTCTCTCTCTCTCTCTTTCTCTCTCACTACTGCCCACCAGTATTCATCCATATAGGAGGTTTATCACCATCATTCTTATACTCACCCTCTCTCTTTGAATAACATGTGGGTGTTAACCATTTTAATTGTGAAAGAGTAAAACAAACCAAAAAAAAAAAATTATCCAATGATTAATTCATTCCTTGTATTGCTTAATTAACAGAACGCGGCACACATCTTATCGAGAATGAATATCTATCTATCTACCTATCTATCTATCTATCTATCTAGCCTTAGAAATAATATTTGACGCAGAGGGAACAAGTGCAACAATGAAATCAAAAATCAGTAGTGGAGCATGTTAATCATAAATCCATTGATTGTAAGAATGGCCATGTTATCAATATTTGTGCTGATAATAGTAATATTGATTCTGATTTTGATGATAACAATAAATATAATAAAAACAGTAACTATAATATTAGTAATGATCATAATTTTGATAATGATACTACTACAAATAATGATATTGATAGTCGACAATTGATAATAATAATAATAGTAATAATAACAATAATGACAATAATTGCAGCGATAATAACAGTGATAATAATGATAGTTGCAATGATCATAATGATAACAACAACAGAAATGATAATGATCATCATAATAATAGTAATAACAATAATAGCTGTAATGATAAAAATGATAATAATAACAACAATAATGATAACGATAATAATAATGATAATAATGATAATAATAAGA